TATTCGTAACTTTTGGCTCATTTTGAACCGTATCCGTCGATGTCTGCCACAAATCTATGAACGTCATGTCGATAATTTTACGATAAAAATGTTTTTGATTGAAATACCTTTATCCCTGTTTGCCCAGGGACAAAAACAGCTTAGATTTCAACCGCTTATCTGCCACTCCCCGAAAACCCTTGAATGGTCTCCTCCACTTTCGGCAAAACATGTATAGGGACTCGCTTACCCTCATTTGAATTGGTCGGAGTGGCCCATGAAAGTGCGTCCTCACTTCACAGTTTTATAATTCACCCTGACAATCGAACAATTTCGTGAATTCTCTCAATATTAACTTAATGTACTTAAATTGAATCAAGGGATAATTTCCCCTGGTGTCCCGGTGCCGTCTTTGACCACTTCGTTAACCGAGGCCTCCACCCTCTTCTGTCTATCTTCGATTCCGAGGGCTGGCCTGATATTATGCACAATGATATATCTCTGGCCCCCTTCGGTTATTTAAAGTTCGGCTTGCTTAGCCATCCAACCTTCGGATTCAACATCGATTAGAGTTCTCCCGATGATCCGAATCACATCATCCGTTGCGCTATAGAATATGTTCTTAATTCCGTCGGACACTTTTCTGACTCCCAGGAATCGATCCTTTATCTTCAACTCGTGGAGCTTCGCTTGCAAAATAAATGACACTGGACTTGTACAATCTATCTGGAATTCTGTTTGCCACCGGCTATTGCCCATGGCAATTTCCAGCATTTTCCTGTTTTCTTTGCCTTCTTTGTCTATAATCGTGTTAATAACAAAAACCCCAAATTCCTCGTTATCCTGTTCTTCTAACTTCGTGATGACATGTGTTTCAAATTGTGTAAATTCGTACGCATTTGCGACTTGGTTCACCGACGATATCTAACAGAATCTCGCAAAAAGCCCGCGACAATTACAATTATGACAAACAAAACTCCTTGCTTTACAATGATCCCTATGATTTGGTTTCAACAAAATTCCACAGTTATGACATTTATCAAGGACTTGATTATTAACGCCATTAACTGGTTCGCGCTTAACAAACCCTCCCCCTGAGTTTGCCACACTTGGGCCTGTATTATTGAGCCGGCTGTTAAATTTCTGTTTTCCGAATCGTGGGATTCCCCCACTGACTCTGACTCCCTTGTACATTAATTCAACTTTTTGCGCGCACCACTGCAAAAAAAAAGTGCCTCCCCGCGCTCATTGTTTCCATGCCAAATTGTTTTTTTAACTTCCTCGTTTTTCATGTTAAATACAAAAACGTCGCGAACAATCGATGTCTCCCAATCTCCGAAATTGCACCCTCGGATCAGGTCACTCATTGTCCCAAAGAACTGTTCCATGCTCTCGTTGTCTCTTTGCTTATGGCCAAAGAACACGAACCTCTTATTCGTAACTTTTGGCTCATTTTGAACCGTATCCGTCGATGTCTGCCACAAATCTATGAACGTCATGTCGATAATTTTACGATAAAAATGTTTTTGATTGAAATACCTTTATCCCTGTTTGCCCAGGGACAAAAACAGCTTAGATTTCAACCGCTTATCTGCCACTCCCCGAAAACCCTTGAATGGTCTCCTCCACTTTCGGCAAAACATGTATAGGGACTCGCTTACCCTCATTTGAATTGGTCGGAGTGGCCCATGAAAGTGCGTCCTCACTTCACAGTTTTATAATTCACCCTGACAATCGAACAATTTCGTGAATTCTCTCAATATTAACTTAATGTACTTAAATTGAATCAAAGGATAATTTCCCCTGGTGTCCCGGTGCCGTCTTTGACCACTTCGTTAACCGAGGCCTCCACCCTCTTCTGTCTATCTTCGATTCCGAGGGCTGGCCTGATATTATGCACAATGATATATCTCTGGCCCCCTTCGGTTATTTAAAGTTCGGCTTGCTTAGCCATCCAACCTTCGGATTCAACATCGATTAGAGTTCTCCCGATGATCCGAATCACATCATCCGTTGCGCTATAGAATATGTTCTTAATTCCGTCGGACACTTTTCTGACTCCCAGGAATCGATCCTTTATCTTCAACTCGTGGAGCTTCGCTTGCAAAATAAATGACACTGGACTTGTACAATCTATCTGGAATTCTGTTTGCCACCGGCTATTGCCCATGGCAATTTCCAGCATTTTCCTGTTTTCTTTGCCTTCTTTGTCTATAATCGTGTTAATAACAAAAACCCCAAATTCCTCGTTATCCTGTTCTTCTAACTTCGTGATGACATGTGTTTCAAATTGTGTAAATTCGTACGCATTTGCGACTTGGTTCACCGACGATATCTAACAGAATCTCGCAAAAGGCCCGCGACAATTACAATTATGACAAACAAAACTCCTTGCTTTACAATGATCCCTATGATTTGGTTTCAACAAAATTCCACAGTTATGACATTTATCAAGGATTTGATTATTAACGCCATTAACTGGTTCGCGCTTAACAAACCCTCTCCCTGAGTTTGCCACACTTGGGCCTGTATTATTGGGCCGGCTGTTAAATTTCTGTTTTCCGAATCGTGGGATTCCCCCACTGACTCTGACTCCCTTGTACATTAATTCAACTTTTTGCGCGCACCACTGCAAAAAAAAAGTGCCTCCCCGCGCTCATTGTTTCCATGCCAAATTGTTTTTTTAACTTCTCCGTTTTTCATGTTAAATACAAAAACGTCGCGAACAATCGATGTCTCCCAATCTCCGAAATTGCACCCTCGGATCAGGTCACTCATTGTCCCAAAGAACTGTTCCATGCTCTCGTTGTCTCTTTGCTTATGGCCAAAGAACACGAACCTCTTATTCGTAACTTTTGGCTCATTTTGAACCGTATCCGTCGATGTCTGCCACAAATCTATGAACGTCATGTCGATAATTTTACGATAAAAATGTTTTTGATTGAAATACCTTTATCCCTGTTTGCCCAGGGACAAAAACAGCTTAGATTTCAACCGCTTATCTGCCACTCCCCGAAAACCCTTGAATGGTCTCCTCCACTTTCGGCAAAACATGTATAGGGACTCGCTTACCCTCATTTGAATTGGTCGGAGTGGCCCATGAAAGTGCGTCCTCACTTCACAGTTTTATAATTCACCCTGACAATCGAACAATTTCGTGAATTCTCTCAATATTAACTTAATGTACTTAAATTGAATCAAAGGATAATTTCCCCTGGTGTCCCGGTGCCGTCTTTGACCACTTCGTTAACCGAGGCCTCCACCCTCTTCTGTCTATCTTCGATTCCGAGGGCTGGCCTGATATTATGCACAATGATATATCTCTGGCCCCCTTCGGTTATTTAAAGTTCGGCTTGCTTAGCCATCCAACCTTCGGATTCAACATCGATTAGAGTTCTCCCGATGATCCGAATCACATCATCCGTTGCGCTATAGAATATGTTCTTAATTCCGTCGGACACTTTTCTGACTCCCAGGAATCGATCCTTTATCTTCAACTCGTGGAGCTTCGCTTGCAAAATAAATGACACTGGACTTGTACAATCTATCTGGAATTCTGTTTGCCACCGGCTATTGCCCATGGCAATTTCCAGCATTTTCCTGTTTTCTTTGCCTTCTTTGTCTATAATCGTGTTAATAACAAAAACCCCAAATTCCTCGTTATCCTGTTCTTCTAACTTCGTGATGACATGTGTTTCAAATTGTGTAAATTCGTACGCATTTGCGACTTGGTTCACCGACGATATCTAACAGAATCTCGCAAAAGGCCCGCGACAATTACAATTATGACAAACAAAACTCCTTGCTTTACAATGATCCCTATGATTTGGTTTCAACAAAATTCCACAGTTATGACATTTATCAAGGACTTGATTATTAACGCCATTAACTGGTTCGCGCTTAACAAACCCTCCCCCTGAGTTTGCCACACTTGGGCCTGTATTATTGGGCCGGCTGTTAAATTTCAGTTTTCCGAATCGTGGGATTCCCCCACTGACTCTGACTCCCTTGTACATTAATTCAACTTTTTGCGCGCACCACTGCAAAAAAAAGTGCCTCCCCGCGCTCATTGTTTCCATGCCAAATTGTTTTTTTAACTTCTCCGTTTTTCATATTAAATACAAAAACGTCGCGAACAATCGATGTCTCCCGATCTCCGAAATTGCACCCTCGGATCAGGTCACTCATTGTCCCAAAGAACTGTTCCATGCTCTCGTTGTCTCTTTGCTTATGGCCAAAGAACACGAACCTCTTATTCGTAACTTTTGGCTCATTTTGAACCGTATCCGTCGATGTCTGCCACAAATCTATGAACGTCATGTCGATAATTTTACGATAAAAATGTTTTTGATTGAAATACTTTTATCCCTGTTTGCCCAGGGACAAAAACAGCTTAGATTTCAACCGCTTATCTGCCACTCCCCGAGTCGCTCCTTTGAATGTCCGACGCTCGTCCTCCGCCCGTCGGTTTTCTTTTTCTCGCCATGACGTTACGACCGTTGCATTCCGTTCCTCACGAGCCGCTCGTGCCTGCTGATCTTTGGTCCCCCACCGCTTCCTCCGGTACTGGGTAGGGATTATCGGCTAAACCGCTATCTTGCAATAAGTCCTCAATGTTTAATTTCCTCCTTAGCAATGGCAATTAACTGAAAACTCTGGCTCCATTCCTCCCACGAAACCGGAGGTTCCTGTGAAGGACCGGCCCAGAATACATCTAGCCCAAAGTATGGCCGAATCCGTATTTGGCTGCGCTATGTAGAAGTATGTCTGTGCACTACTTCGGTAACGTAAGAACAACACGTAATAGAATCAATTTTAATT